CCGAAACCCATTAAGTCCAACTTTTGGGGAAATAAAAGGAGGCCGACCCCATCCAAACTCAAATTTGGGGGTCCAAAAAAAAAAGGGGAAAAAACCCCCCCTAAGGTTTTCCCAATTTTTTTTTTAAAAAAAACCACTGTTTTCCTGTAAAAGGGATTAAAAAAAACATAAATTTAAAATTTTTAAAAGTACCAATTTTTAAAATTTTTTTCAAAATGGGAAAAAAAAAAAAGTTTTTTTGTATTTTGGGGATTGAAGAAAAAAAAATTAAAAATTTTAGAAAGGGGGAAGTAAAAATGAAAAAAAAGGGGAGAAGAAAAAAGATAGATAAAAAAAAAAAAAAATTTGGTTTGATTAATTTTTTAAAATTGGTGAAGTAAAAATAAATTTAAAAAAAAAAAAAAAATAGATAATTTAATAATAATAATAGTGTTTTGTATGTGTGATAATGTGTTTTTTGTTTTTGTTTTTCGTTTTTGGGCTTTTTTTTGGGGGTGGTTTGGGGGTTTTTGGGTTTGGGGGGAAAATTTTGGGGTTGGTTGGTGAAGTTTTTTTTTGGGGTTTGTTGTTGTCCCTCCCCCCTTTTTTTTGTGGTGGGGGCCGCTAAAAGGGCCCCCGGGTACATTTTCTCCCCCCCCGGGCTTGTTTTTCCCATCTTTTTCTGTTTTTTATTGTTTGTTTTGGAAAACCCCCCCTCCTTTTTTTGGGGGGCCTTTTTTTGTAAAATTTTCCCGGGGGGGGGGGGGGGTGGGGGGGGGGGCGTTTTCAGAAAGGGGGTGGGGGGGGGCGGGGGGGAAGGGGGGGGGGGGGGGGGGGCCCCCGTAAAAGAAAGGGGGAAAAATTTTTTAAAAAATTTGGGTTTTTTTGGGGGGGGGGGGGGAGGGGTGGTGGGGAAAAACTGGGGGGTGGGGGGGGGGGGGGGGCCAAAAAAAAAAAGGTTTGGGGGAAAAGTTGGGGGGGGGGGTTTTTTCCCCCCCCGAGGGGGGGCGGGGGTTTGGGGGGGGGAGGGCTGGGGGGGGGGGTGTGGGTTTTGGGTGGGGGGGGGGGGGGGGGGGGGGGGGGAAAAGGGGGGGGGGGGGGGGGGGGGGGGAAAAAAAAAAAATTTTGGGGGGGGGGGAAAAAGGGGGGGGTTTTTGGGGGGGGGGGGGTTTTTTAAAAAAAAGGGTTTTTGGGGGGGGGGGGGGGTGTTTTTTTTTTTTTAAAAAAGGTTTTTTTGGGGTGGTTTCAAAAAAAAAAATACCCAACAAAAAAAAAAAAACCCCAAAAAAAAACCAAAAAAAAAACAAAACAAAAAAAAAAACCCCCAACCCCCCAAATGACCATTGTGGCAGCAAATCAAATTTTTGTTTTAGAGGGGGCTACGCCAAATGTTTCTAAAGGAAGGGTTTTTCCCTTTTTTTGGGGTTTTTTTTCTTTTTAGGGAATTTTCAAAAAAACCCAACCCGTAAATTTTTTAAACCAGCTAAATATGTCTTTTTTTTTTGGGGAAAAAAGGGTTTTTTTCGCAATTAAAAACAAGAATGATTTTAATTTACATTTCCAGGTTATTTCCCAAAATTTCTCCCTTTTTTCCTTTTTTTTCCCTTTTTAAAAGGGGGTTATTTTAAAAAAAATAAAAAAACATTTCCAATTTACAAATGTGTAAATTACATGTATGTGAGAAATAGGACAAATATAAGCACACACCCCCCCCCCCCCCCCCCCCCCCCCGCATGGTGAGGTATGGAAAGGTATTGAAAACAGGGGTGCCAATAATTATGAGAAGAAAGAAAAATCATACAATGTAGCTCATTATTTGCATTATTTATTTTATGCAGTCTTTTTTGCTTATCTTTATCAAGGTTGCCAATCATTTTGGACCTGACTGTTTATGGTATAAAACTACACTATATAGATCCTAATGTTTCTCAGGCTCATGCTACAACCTGATTAAAAGCCGCAATGACCAACAACTCAATTTCTGTGTAGTCGTTAAACACAGTGTAACCAAACAATGTCATCATCTGTTGCCACATTTATTGTATGACATACTTCATAATCTATGAAAGAAACATTTTCTCACGCAATTAAATAAATAGTTAGCTAACAATATTCAAAATACAGATAAATACGTTAATCATACTCACAGAGTAGCACATCAAGTGAAATGTGCTCCATTCTGAGCCTCTGGTAAGTGACTGTCGACACCAGAATGTCCTACAGCTCCTGCAGCTGTGACACAAATGGGGCTTTGACAGAATTAGAAAGGTACAGATGCTTAAAGAGAAACAGAAAAAAATTGAATATGATGTCATGTTCATCTCTACACATCTTCCTCTTACTGTAAAAGGAATGGACACATCAACACCGTGGTCTTTCTGTGACTGGAAGAGAGAACTATAGTATATATCTGAGGAAGGAACTTTGTGGATAATAACATATATGTGCAAAAATTGAAGTCAATATTGTATATACCATACCTGGTCATGTTGACATTTTCAGTCCAATCTTTAATGTCACTAGGAGAGGTGTCAAAGGTTTGACTTCATGACATATTTATCATTTGGTTTATGTTGTAGCTATTTGGAGGTCAACTGCATGTAGATGTTCTTGAGTTACAGCACAAACAAGGTAGGTCTGTCAACTGTTCAAAGTAATAACCCAAGAAAGTAGTGATCACAGTGATAGATTGAATGTAAAAGATAAATTAATAAGTGAACTACAGAATATGTATGCTGAAAGAACATTGTCATTCTTCTCTCTGAAAAGGACATAAATCCCTGCACACCTTTTCATGTGTACTCATCAGCCCAGCAACTAGGTTTTCGCAGGTTTTTGCATATGACTACAACCATTCTCTATTTGTCTCTCTCTGATCACAGAGGGAAAAGACAGCTTCACACAGTGCCTTCCTTCACAAACCCACACTGCTAAAGATGAAGACAGCAAACCATGACCACTCAACTATGACAAACAAGTGACCTAATGTAAAGTTCCTCAGCCTTTTAATTTCATACACTGTGCATTGGAAAAAAACTTAACCAATTGCTTAATTAGCGTTATTATGCAAGTTGAGTGGACTTAAAAAGGACAAGAATTTGAGCCAATGTGTTAGTGTCTTCAATCAACAAACTCTGCTTGAAGTCAGTTTCATTTGAACAAGCTTGTTGAGTAAAATTACAAATTCATGTTTGCTGAAAACAACTCAAAACCACGCCTATCATTATCATTAACATTATTCCAGCATGCTCTCTTGCAGGTTAATTTTTAGAATGGTTTGTTTCAATACCTGTGTATTTGCATGTACTTTAGAAAAATGTATGTTATCTATGTTTGTGTAGCATAAGATTAATCAACCAATCAAACTAATCCAATCTGTTAGTAGTTCGATTTATTTCACACATTACTGATATGGCTGTTCCAGTTTATATAATTTAGGCAGGCTCAGTAATCAATCTTCCCTACCCCAACAGTCATTCTGAATGCAGGTTGCGTGTGATTAAAAGTTCAAATTGTTGGATATCCTAACTCTGGCTGGATTCCAATAGGAATTACACATCGCTTTCCAAGCCAGCATAATGTGACTTGCAGGCTTGATGTGGCCTGTAAACCAGGAGTTTCAGACCAGTGTGTTAGGGTCTAACTAGGCCCTCAAAGGCTTTATGATATATGTAATGTGTTGTCATAATGAGTTTAATTTTAAAGATAACATATTCACTTAGACACTCACTTGGTGAAGGCTACAGTACTGAAAACCATTCAATACAACAACCATGTCTCTGTGGCTAACAAATACAGTCATGGGAGGTAACTACAATTCACTCTAAATACAAGGCACTCAGGGTATGCAAAAAGGTAGAATAATTTTTTTATTCTGTGAACAGCAAATTTTTTTTTTTTTGAATTAACTGAATTTCATCTGGTTATTGGGACAGACATGAATGCCATTTTGGACATGCGGACAAATCAAAGAAGACCAACAACAATCCACACGCAACCAAGGCTCTCCAGCATATACTCTGTGATTACAACCTCATTGATGCCTGGCAAGCACTTAATCCTAATGCAAAAGAGTACACTTTCTACTCACAGGCATAAATCATTCTCACAAATCAATGTCATACTATTATCTACAACTCTTCTCTTTAATCAAGAAAATAGAAATTCGACATATGAGCTTGTTTGATCACCACTCCTACTACTGCATGTTACACATTTCAGAATCTCCTAATTGTAACTAGGGCCTCAAAGAAAGACATAAGGCCTTATGATACACTGTATATATGAGAATCAACAAAGGGAGAAGATTACAATCATGAAAAAGTAAGCAAATAGTGTAGGTCGTGATGAAATTAACCAGTAACGTCTAGGCCTAACTACAGAATATACACATGCAAGATGCAGAGGATGCAGAGTGTTCTATATCTATGAAAGGCCCAGCCTTTGACCACATCCTGTTCAGCTCACAGTACTTTCTGGTAGGGAGAGGTGGGGGGCTCTGGGCGTCCAAATGCGATCTTGTCATACAGAGTCTGCGGCTACAGATGTGACAGATAATCAAGAAGAAACTGTTTCAGCATCAAGAAAGGTATAGACAATTATCAAAGTAGACTACATAGTCTTCCATTCAATAACAGACATTCAAATTCAATATTCAAATACAAATCAATAATATCATCTGAAGAATATTTCTAGATCCACCTGAAATGTAACTTGAAGTATAGTTAAGGGCCCCAAGCAGTACATATCTGGGTTACAGCGGCCCCTGCAGTAGCACACTGCCACAGCTACAGTGAGGATCAGCACCACAGCGCCTCCTACTGATACTCTGATGTAGATGGTATACCATGCCAGCCCTGTCACATATTGTACAACACACATGATTAGACTATACAATATGATAAAGACTAAATGGCTCTGTATCATACACTTCCAATGTAATCACAAGCATTATATATTATATTTGACAACATAAGCGTATAAGCACACTGAAAAGTGTTTGGAAGGGATTATTATGATATCTAGGTACCTGGGGCGGTTTTGTCATTACTACACTTTACTGTCGCAAAGACAGTTTTCCAACTGACTAGGTTGGAGTCGTTGCACGTTACACTGATGTCTCTCTCTGCAGGAGAGAGAGAGAAGTGAATCTGCTGGGCGTCCCCGTACATCTCATTGTCTCTCTCCCAGGTGTATGTAAGGTTGGAGTAGCAGGACACGTTGCACACCAGCCGCACCGTACAGGAGTGGTTGGCAAATAGCGTGATGTCTGTCTGGATCACCACCTTGGATATAAGCTCTGACCAACCAGGAGAGAGATAGAGACTCATAATCAGTCTTCTAAATGTACCCTACCATAGCCATACCACCAGGAGAAAGACGACAGAGGATAAAAACTTGTTAATGTATCAAAGCATGGTGAGTAAGGTCAGTATAAAACCACAAAATCAGTGTTATAGTTTAAAGATCATCAGCTGTGGTCATGGATATAAATTAGAATGATATCAAAATAGGATGCAAAAAGGTGATAACAGCCTACCGTGGACCTTCAGAGTGATGGTCTTACTGCCAATCTGACCTTTGTCCCCTTCGCCTATAACTAGAAATTCCCCTGAGTCTTGCAGTGGCAGTTCTCTGACCGTTAAACTAGTCTCCCCTCAAACTGGGATCCAGGTGAATATACACCTTCTGAGTTGACTTCTGCAATATCCTTTCCTCTATACTTCCACTGCAATGATATGAAATGTCCCCTCTCTAAGCCTGCCAGCAGCTCCACGGAGTCCCCCACTGTCTTGTTGATGAACAGAGGAACACCCACACCTGAAACACACAAATACACATGTTATTCTGACATCAATCAATGGTTTGCATACTGTATTACAATGATCTTTTCACTGTATATTTATTAATGTAAGTATTGTGTAGGAAGTATTGTAATTACTCATTGTTAAGTTGTAATATTTGTTACAGTGTGCCTACATGAATAATTAAACAATAATACACTACAATGCAAAGTGTTACACAATCAATTAATAGATAATAATGGATTGGATTTATATAGTGCTTTTCCAGGTTTCATTTATACTATAAATGGCACTTTACATATTTGCACTTTCTATCTGTACGTATCTGAGGGTGTGGGTCCTATTTTACTTTATTAAAGTCCACTCCTCCACCACATTCAGCAGAACAGAATGAGATGACAGGAAAAGAGAAGTGGGGGTGGATCTGATAACTCCTCCTCAGCTCAAGTACAAATCACACTGTGGTTACTGTGTAATTACTCACCACCAATGCATCATATACTGCATGGGCGACATTATAAATACATTATAAATACATTATAAATACATGTCAGTCTGAAATAAGGTATTATAAACCCTTACACAAAAACAGCTCTGTCATGAATTAAGACAAAATAAAGTTACAGCTCAATGAAGTGTGGTATTTAGGGCATAACTGCAGTTGTCCTAGTCCTGCAGTTTATCTTATTATGTAATAAAAACAATCATTCCATACAGTCCCGTTTTGCCTTAAATGTAATGAGTGACATGCATCTAGCACAGGGTCTTAATTTATTTTCCGTTCTAGAAGCACTGCAACAGCTGCTGAACCAACCACACCATTGGCACTCATTCAAAACTGCAGAATCAATACATCATGATATGTTGCTGAATATAGGTATTATGTAGGTGTTATCACACAGTAATAAAGCAAATGTTTCGAGATATCCAACCAATCACTGATGACTAGGCATTCTACAGTCAACACACCATGCAAAGACCAACAATGAATTTAGAGAAAGCTAACTGTTTTCCTAGAGTTATCATGTAAGAAAGCACATGCAATAAATCCTGTATGTGGATGCTTCTACCCTTCGGTTTCACATTAGACTAAGGAGACTGTTGAAAAGACCCTAAGCAGCCAACTGACAAGGCAGTAAATGGTTATCCATTTAAGCAAGACAGAATGTATCCTGTTTGGTTCCAAACAGAAAGTGAGAAACTCTTCCAACTTCTCGGTCAAGTTTAATGGTGTAGCGGTGAAGGAAAAATGCTCTGTTACATACACTGGGATGTGAACTGGACCAACACATGACATGTGAACTTATGGCTCTGAAGGTCATTGGGTAGGTTCACTGCAGGACAAAGTTCCTGGCAAGGGTAGCCAAGTTCCTGTATACAGAGATTATGAGGACCCTGGAAACATCTCTGATACGGTGCCACTATGGCTATGCTTCTATCTCATGGTTCAGTGGCGTATCACAAAATCTGAAGGACAAACTTCAAACGACCCAAAACAAACTAATGAGAATTATACTCAAGCTCAGCCATTGGGACGCACGTTGGTCCTAATCATTTCAGGGAACTGAACTGACTTCCAGTTAATCTCCTGGTGGTGCAGATTAAACTGTTGATGGTTTTTAAAGTGAGACATGACCTTGCCCCCAGTTACCTTTCTGGTTATTTTAATTTCAGTAGACTCTCATAGCCATGAAAGCTAGAGGGAGGGTTCGGGGGAGGAGAGAGAGAGAACGAAAGAGAAAGAAAGAAGAGAAAGAAAGAGAGAGAGAGAGAGAGAGAGAGAGAGAGAGAGAGAGAGGGGGGGGGGGAGGGTTAGAGAGATAGAGCGAGAGAGAGAGAAAATATCATAACAGTGTGCATTTTCATCTAGGCTTCATATGTCTGGAGAAGTGTTTGTATGACTTCTTCTGCATGCTCATAGGTCAGTGTGGCTGAGGGATATGAAACACCTACCAACTTTTTCAGAAGGTAGTGGGTCCCAGGTTATTGACAAAGGCCTCACTTCTACGTTTCAGGTAACATCTTGTGGTGATGTCATTTCCAGTTTCTGTTTATCAGGAGCAGTGATAATAACCTGGCTGCTGGCTGTCTGTCTGACCACATAGACATAAACACATAGACACAGAAACCCCCTAACTGGAACAGTGACCTTCCAGACCATGCAGGGATACTGAAAATAGTCATACACCACTAATGTAATTATTTGGTATGACCTATCTTTAGGATGAGGAGGCAATATGGCAGAACTGGTAATCATGCATACGTAGGTTACTACCTGGAATTCAACACAGTAATATAAATATTCAATATTGTTTCCATGTAAATACCAGACCCTGGCCCATGAGTCTGACCTTTGCTTACTTGGAAGACCCCTTTGCCATCATAGACTTGCATGTCCACATTTCAATATTAAAAGGAAGTGATACACAGTACCAGTACTGACCAGCTCCTCAGAACTCCTGCAGACAGGATATCAAATCATATCAAATCAAATTGTATTTGTCACATTACATTTGACATTTTAGTCATTTAGAAGACGCTCTTATCCAGAGCGACTTACAGTTAGTGAGTGCATACATTTTCACATGCGCAAATACAACAGGTGTAGACCTTACTGTGAAATGCTTACTTACAAGCCCTTAACCAACAATGCAATTCAAAAATAGAGTTAAGAAAATATTTACTAAATAAACTAAAGTAAAAAATAAAGTAACACAATACAATTATATAACAATAACGAGGCTATATACAGGAGGTACTGGTACCGAGTCAATGTGCGGGGGGTACAGGTTAGTCAAGATAATTTGTACATGTAGGTAGGGGTAAAGTGAACATGCATAAATAATAAATAGCGAGTTGCAGCAGTGTAAAAATAAAGGGGGGGGGGGGGGGGGGGGGGTGTTAATGTAAACAGTCCAGGTGGCCATTTGATTAATTGTTCAGCAGTCTTATGGCTTGGGGGTAGAAGCTGTTAAGGAGCCTTTTGGACCTAGACTTGGCGCTCTGGTACCGCTTGCCGTGCAGTAGCAGAGAGAACAGTCAATGACTTGGATGACTGGAGTATTTGAAAATTCTTTGGGCCTTCCTCTGACACCGCCTAGTATATAGGTCCTGGATGGCAGGAAGGTTGGCCCCAGTGATGTACTGGGCCGTACGCACTACCTTCTGTTACGCCTTACGGTTAGATGCCAAGCAGTTGCCATACCAGGTGGTGATGCAACCGGTCAGGATGCTCTCGATGGTGCAGCTGTAGAACCTTTTGAGGATCTGGGGACCCCTGCCAAATCTTTTCAGTCTCCTGAAGGGGAAAAGGTGTTGTCGTGCCCTCTTCACGACTGTCTTGGTGTGTTTGGACCATGATAGTTCGTTGGTGATGTGGACACCAATGAACTTGAAACTCTCAACCCACTCCACTACAGCCCCGTCGTTGCTAATGGGGGCCTGTTCGGCCCTCCTTTTCCTACAGTCCACGATGAGCTCCTTTGTCTTGCTCACATTGAGGGAGAGGTTGTTGTCCTGGCACCACACTGCCAGGTCTCTGACCTCCTCCCTATAGGCTGTCTCATCGTTGTCTGTGATCAGGCCTACCACTGTTGTGTCGTCAGCAAACTTAATGATGGTGTTGGAGTCGTGCTTGGCCACGCAGTCGTGGGTGAACAAGGAGTACAGGAGAGGACTAATCATTTAGGAAGGTTACCTTCGCTTTCTTGGGCACAGGGACTATGGTGGTCAGTTTGAATTTGACATCATGTCATGAACCCTGCATCCTGAGTCGGTTCCTGCCTGTGTTGCCATTTTTCTGCTCGGAATCTCCAGTTTCCTGAGGGTTCGTGAACGCTCCCGGCCTGGTTTGCCGGGCGACGTTGCTAGGCGGGAGATCTCCCGATTAACCGCACCTGCATCTCATCAGCGGTCTGCACACCTGGTCCTGATCATCCCCCTTCTTAAGTCCTGACCTGACATCCATTCCCTGCCGGATCGTTAGCCATGAACATCAATCTCCCGGAACCTTCACCCAACCCCTGCCTGGTTGTCGGCGGCTGCCGAGCCATTCTTGGATCTACCACTGCACCTCCACCAACTCATCTCCGCCGTCCGCTCTGTCCCCTGGATTATTCTACATCGTTTTTTGAATCTGTTAAATAAATACTCACCTTCGTTTCAACTCACCTTGTCCTGGTCTGCTTCTGGGTTCTGGCTTAGTAAACCGTGACAGAACGATCCGGCCAGAAATGAACCCAGCGGACCTGGACTCTGTTCGCCAGGCCATTACCTATCAGGAGAAGATGTTGGGACAACATAGCACGGCGCTACAGGAGATAGCTTTGTCCGTTCGGAACTTTTCTACCAGTCTGACGAAGATCCAGGCTCAGCTCAGTTTGCCGGTGGAGAATCCACGACCGGTTTCACCCATCTCGCCTGCCGCTTCTGGAGCTGTGCCCTTCCGTGAGCCCAAGGTTCCGACGCCTGATAAATATGAGGGGGAGTTGGGAAGATGCCGTTCTTTCCTTATGCAGTGTGGATTAGTGTTCGATCTACAGCCCACTCTTATGCCACAGACAAGGCTAGGATAGCCTTTGTCATTGAGTTGCTGCGTGGTCGAGCTCTGGAGTGGGCTTCAGCCGTTTGGGAACAACAGGACACCTGCATGGCCTCATACCAAGAGTTCACGGCCGAGATGAGGAAGCTATTTGACCATCCCGTCCGAGGTATGGACGCAGCTAGGCGCCTGTTCAGGACTTTGGCTGTGGAGAGTGGGTGGAATGAGGAGTCTCTGCAAGCGGCCTTTTACCAGGGGCTGTCGGAGCAGCTCAAGGATGAGTTGATCTCCTATCCGGAGCCTAGTGACCTGGACAGCTTGGTAGCCTTGTCTATTCGGGTGGATAACCGAGTTCGAGAGAGAAGGAGGGAGAAGCAATGGGGCCCGTCCACTTGTTCCTGGCGGTCGTCAAACTGCTCGGCTCGCTAAAGTTGGGAGGACTTTTAGCGAGCCAGTTTCAACCTCTCAATACCTCTGTCAGACCCCGTTTCCCGGCTACCCTCATGAACAGGAATCAGAGTCTAGCGATTAACGCTTTCGTCGATTCAGGTGCCGATGGAAGCTTTATTGATGCCGAAGTGGTGGAACAGCTGGGGCTTTCCAAGGAGCGATTACCGGAAGCCATTGAAGCTACCACTCTGAACGGCAGTAGTCTGGCACGTATCACGATGAGGACTGAACCGGTTAAGATGCTGTTGTCAGGGAATCATTCTGAGGTGATCTCATTCTTCATTCTGCCTTCTTCCCACGTTCCTCTGGTCCTTGGATACCCCTGGCTGAAAGAACACAATCCCACGTTCGATTGGGTGACTGGCAAGGTAACTAGTTGGAGCCTTGAGTGTCATGCTAACTGCCTCAAGACTGCCTGTTCCCATTCTGTTCCCAGTCAGGTGATTGAGGCTAGACCCCCAGATTTGTCCCTGGTTCCCGAGACATATCACGATTTGGGGGAAGTGTTCAGTAAGCAGAGGGCTCTGTCACTCCCTCCCCCACCGACCATATGACTGTGCCATAAACCTGTTCCCTGGAGCTGTCTATCCCAAGGGACGGTTATACAGCATCTCCCGACCTGAACGTGAGGCTTTGGAGACCTACATCAAGGAGTCCCTAGCGGCTGGTCTCATTCGTCCCTCATCATCACCCCTGGGGGCAGGATTCTTCTTTGTGGGTAAGAAGGATGGCTCTCTTCGACCGTGTATTGATTATCGGGGGTTGAATGATATCACGGTCAAGAACAAGTATCCCCTGCCCTTGATGAGCTCTGCCTTCGACTCCTTACAGGGTGCTACTGTGTTCACCAAGCTAGACCTACGCAATGCGTATCACCTGGTCCGGATCAGAGAGGGGGACGAGTGGTTGACGGGTTTCAATACACCGATGGGTCACTTCGAGTATCAGGTGATGCCGTTTGGACTGACCAATGCTCCAGCAGTGTTCCAGAGTATGGTGAATGACGTCCTGAGAGATATGATCGGTCTCTTTGTGTTTGTTTACCTGGATGACATTCTTATCTTCTCGAAGGAACCTTCCAGCCACATCCAGCATGTCAGGCAGGTTCTGCAGCGATTGTTGGATAATCGCCTGTTCGTGAAGGCCGAGAAGTGCGAATTTCACGCCCACACTACATCCTTCCTCGGGTACATCATCTCCAGGGGAGAGATCAGGATGGACCAGGAGAAGGTTAGGGCGGTTCTGGAATGGGCCCAGCCCGGTACGAGATTGCAGCTCCAGAGGTTTCTGGGGTTTGCGAATTTCTATCGCAGATTCATCCGGGATTACAGCCGTGTGGCCGCTCCTTTAACTGCCCTGACTTCCAGTACCAGGACCTTCAGTTGGAACCCTGAGGCGGACCGAGCGTTCCTGGATTTGAAGAGGCGATTCACCAACGCACCGATTCTCTCTCAACCTGACACGGCCCGTCAGTTCGTCGTGGAAGTGGATGCGTCTGATGTGGGGGTTGGCGCCATCCTGTCGATCCAGCGATGCTCCACTGACGGGAAACTCCATCCCTGCGCCTACTACTCTCGTCGTCTTTCGTCTGCGGAGAGGAACTACAATGTGGGTAACCGGGAGCTTCTCGCGGTGAAGCTTGCCTTGGAGGAGTGGCGCCACTGGTTGGAGGGGGCAGAGCAACCGTTTATTGTCTGGACCGACCACAAGAATCTTGCTTACGTGTAATCGGCTAGACGTCTCAACTCCCGTCAGGCCAGGTGGGCTTTGTTTTTCGGACGCTTTAATTTTTCCCTGACGTTCCGACCTGGGGCCAAGACCGAGACGATTCTTCCCCGGAACTGTGTCGTGGGAGCAGTTATGCAGAGGATTGAGGAGGAGGTTATGGCGGCCCTTCGGACGCAGCCCGGTCCCGGTAACGGTCCACCCGGTCGTTTGTTTGTGCCTGAGTCGGTTCGTTCTGCTGTCCTCCAATGGTCCCACGCCAGCAAGATGGCTTGTCACCCTGGCATGGCCCGGACGATGGCGTTACTTCGCAGACGATTTTGGTGGCCGGCCATGGGAGAAGATACTCGGAGGTTTGTTGCTGCCTGTCCAGTGTGTGCGCAGAATAAGAGTGCCAACCGGCCCAGCTCTGGACTACTTCACCCCCTCCCTATTCCCCGGCGACCATGGTCGCATCTGGCCCTGGACTTTGTCACTGGGTTGCCCTCTTCTGAGGGGAACACGGTCATTCTGACTATCGTGGACAGATTCAGCAAGTTCGCCCACTTTGTGCCCATTTCCAAGCTTCCCTCGGCCTCTGAGACATCCGAGATCCTGGTTAGGGAGGTTTTCAGGGTCCACGGGTTGCCCAGTGACATAGTTTCCGACCGTGGCCCTCAGTTTACCTCTGCTGTCTGGA